ATGCCGCCGATGATATGTTGGCGCCAGAGGAGGATCTGCCGCTGAAGCAGCTGGCCAGCAGTGATAATGTAGCAATGTTGATGACCGCCAGAGGTGGTCATATCGGTTTCATGGAGAGTGGTGGACTGGCAATTGGCAAACCGACCTACTATCTAGAACGTCTCTTTGAGCAGTACATGAGGGCACTTTTTGAAATGAAGGAAAATCCGAGGAGTTTAGCTGCAACTGAATGAATGACTGACTGAATGATTTTTGTTTTAGGCTTTATATACTTCTTTTAAACTATTTTTACAAATCATATTTAATAAATGACCAATTACTCAAAAATTTGAAAAATTGTGCCGCAACTCTCCTTCAGAAATTATCATCCTCTGTTAGTGCATGTTGCTCATTCAGTAATTTTTTCCTTTCTATTTCAGGTACATTGCCTGCTGATGAGTTATCAGTAACTTTACTTCTACTACTGTTTCCTTCGCTTTGGCATCGTCTGACATCTTTTTCTAAATGAGCCTTATCATTGGATGTGTTCACCGCGCGTTCATTGCTCACTCGCTATCACTATTGCTCGGTGTGTGAGTGAGTGTATTCAGTATCACAGCAGCAGTAGTGTCCTGCTTTTGTTTTTGCAGGCAAAATATGATGAAGACAGAAACAGAGCGAGAGTTGGCTGCTGTACTGGTGAACACGGCTTCCACTTTAGTCATCGGCCTACAGGGAGACAAAAAGAAACAGCAGAAGTAGAAGAACAAGTAGAAGACATCGATAGACAGCAGCAACTTCCAAAGTTCAAAGTACCCATTTCAGTCCGACTGTCAACTTTGATTTTCCTTCTGCTTTTGATGCTGTGAAATGACAACTTTTCGAACAGTACTACATAAATAACAACAACAAACACTCACTTACTCAAAAAGATGGACGAAGTTTGGAACTTCATTTGCGACCACTACATCGAGATGATCTCCGCCACTGTTGTGCTGACCCTAATCGTCGCCTTTACCTTCTACTACTGTTTCTATGTGGTGCAAAAACCTCGATTGGTGGTGGGCAATCCGGCCCTAGCCTCCTTCCTAAAAGAGAGCATCACCAGCCTGGGAGAACGGTACTGGCCGACGCTTTGGTTCTACAACACCCACCTCATGACGCCAATGAACCTGCCAGTTAGAGGACTCAATCCAAAGTTGACCTTCAGGCGGGAGCTTCTGGACACTGCCGATGGCGGTCAGATCTCACTCGACTGGTACGTGGCCTCGACAACGGTCCAGGACCAAAACGGAGAAATTGTGATGGAGGAGACGGTGGTAGCCTCCAGTCAGCCGGTGATGCTCTTCCTGCCCGGCATTACCGGCCACTCACAGGCGGAGTACTTTAGGTCGCTGGTGAGTAGTGGATGAACACTTTTCAAATTCTTTTTACTAATCTATCATTTTTCACCCCAAGGTACCCATTGCCCACTCAATTGGCTACCGCGTGGCGATCATGAACTATCGCGGCCTCGATGGTCGCCCCCTTCGTTCGCCACGCCTCTACTGTGCGGCCACCTTCGAGGATCTGACCACCTCGCTGGAGCACATCCGCTCAAAGCACATGCAAACCACTGCAACCGGAAATAGAACTAAGCTAGTGGCGGCCGGCATCAGCATGGGCGGCACCCTGCTCTCCTCCTACCTCGCCGCAACCGGAACTGAATCACTGGTCGACGCGGCGATGCTCATCAGCACCTGCTGGGACTTTGTCGCCGGCTCGCACAACCTCGAGCGGAACTGCCTCACCCGACTGGCCAACGCCTACCTCACCAATGGCCTGGTGCGGGTGGTGCAGGCAAATCGGGAGTACCTGCTGGCGAACATCCCGCCGGGCGTCACCTACGACATGGACGCCATTGTGAAGTGCCGGTCGTTGCGCACTTTTGACGAGGCCTTTACGCGGAAGATGTTCGGCTTCAAGAGCTGCGATGACTACTACGAGCACAGTACCACCAAGGACAAAATTGGCCTGATCAGGATTCCTACGTTGGCCATCAACGCGGCGGATGATTTCATTCTTCCAGAAAATGGTACTGGAGTTGAGATTTTCTAATTTTCAAAATTGTTACATTTTTTGGCACTTTTTCCCTCTAGACATTCCCATGTCCCAGGTGGCCGCCAGCAGTCACGTGGCAATGCTGGTCACCGCCAGGGGCGGCCACATTGGCTTCATCGACGGCCTCCTTCTTCGGCCTGGCTCAAGCTTTTACCTGGAGCGGCTGATGAAGCAGTACCTCAGCGCCCTGTACGTGCTGCCTGCCAATCCTCGCCACTTGCTGAGNGTCACCGCCAGGGGCGGCCACATTGGCTTCATCGACGGCCTCCTTCTTCGGCCTGGCTCAAGCTTTTACCTGGAGCGGCTGATGAAGCAGTACCTCAGCGCCCTGTACGTGCTGCCTGCCAATCCTCGCCACTTGCTGAGTGTCTGATGCAGCAACAGCAGCAGCAAAACTTTCCCTATCTCCTCCTCGTCTTCTCTTGTACAAAAAAACCTACATTTGCCTGTTACATTTGCTCAATCTTCTTTTCCTTTACATTGATGTTTTATTGGGTACAGCTGTCACCGGTTTAGTGTCGCCGACTTATTGTTTGTGTTTTGTTTTGGTGTTTTTTTATGAGAATCAAAACTTTTTTGTGACAGAAAGAAAGAAGGAATGCCACGCCGAACTGATGAGTGTCTCGTCTGTGGCGATGTCGCGTCAGGCTTCAATTTTGACTGTCGCAGTTGCGAGTGCTGTAATAAACAATTATTTTCAGTGTTTTACAATTTGATTTCATTCATTCTTTTTTAGGCAAGGCATTTTTTAGACGAAATGCTCTCCGGTATAATGTAAGTTGTCACAAAGAGCAATGGGCAAAATGGGCCTAAATTGAGCAATTGAAACCTTTG